GTTAAGCTCGAGAGATGCATTCGATTGCTGTGAGTTACATCTTGAATTTCTTTTTTACTGTAAAATGTATGATATAGATAACAAATACTGAGACATGAGGCAAGTTCTCATTTTTCTTGTATTTTCAATAAAATAATAAAAACTTATAATAAAATATCATAATTGTTTAGTCAAAAATTTGATTTTAAAGAAATTTCAGTATTTTTTTTAATTCTTTAAGGCTGGATCCAAGAGATCCAGATCACCTATCTACCGCTCTAACCTGGTTTTTCAAATGAACGATCCAGGTCGCAGACATTTTTTAAAACCTTGGTTCCAAATTAAGTGGCTCAAGCCAATTGCTTCTTTTACCCTTGGCGAAGGTATTTTGGGATGTGTGTGATTATTGCAAGACGCTATTATTATATTAGAGCATTTTTTGTGTTTGCCAAATAGGAAATGCTATGTAATTTTAGGAGCTGTGACTTCCAAAACATCACTAAATAACGGGACAATATACTATTAGACCACTTCTTTTTGGTACAAGGATGGCATAATTGGTATTAGGCATTAAATGCTAAATTAGGTCGTTTTGGGTGTGTCATAAAATTTGAGAATTTTTTTTGAACTTTGAATGTGGTCAATGACATATTCACAATCATCCAATTTCAAATTTGATCGACAAAAATAATTATGATTTCCTTGTATTAAAAATAAATGATCTCTTTGTATACTTTCCCATAAAAAATTACGGCCTAAGGAAGCAGCCGCTTCTAAAGTTAGTGGAAGAGGCCATGCAGCCTTATGTTAAGATGGATTAAGCCTTTGCGGCAGTAGGAGACTTGTCGTAAGTAAAAGGGAGACCTTATTGTCGGAGAGGGTTTAGGGTATGTGACCTAAAAGAAAAATGCAAATCCAAAAGTATATTTTCCCTTTTAGATTTTAATTATATTTAAAGATTCAAGACCAAATAAATATATGAGGATAATGGTGGATATAAATTCCTTAGAGAATCTGCTTCGCGTGGAGTGCTACCCTGGTTCACCTTCTCCCAATTTGTAGCTTAAGGGTGTTTGTTTCACAACATATTTTGCTAGCACATGCCATTGGATTTGTTGAGGAAGCTCATAAAAAATTTGAGAAAAATGGTCTGTAATTTATTTTATTTTATATTTTTGTTAATTTGTTGAGTGCATGTTTTTTATTTCATGGGCCGCAAGGCATTCCAGCCCTTCAAAAACATAAAATTGACTTTCCTTTCTGAATAAATTAATTTAATGCTCCGGAGAGGGCTGATACTTTGTAAAAAAGAACAAATTATTCATTTGGTGGTGCTGAGGCAATCCACAAAATTTGAGGCCAATTGAATATATGTGCCAAATTTGGGTAAAACAAAAGTTCCCAGGGTTTTTAAAATTTCTGGTTGGATTCGGGTCAACTCCGAAATGGACCTGACCTGACCTAAGATAGTTTTTTTTTTGATAATTCAAGTGTAGGAATCAAACTTAAAATATAATGTTGCTCGACGTCCCACTCAAGACCGAGCCCAATTTTTAAGAGAAAGCCAACTACGAAGCCAAAGCTCAAGGAACACCCGGATAATATATATGTAGACCCTTCCCAATTAGGTGTAACATGGACGTAGACCCTTCCTGAGCACCTGGACCCGACCTGACTGGTCAGGTTGGATCTGAGTCTTGAATAATAAAATTTTACTGTATATATTTTCTAACGGGTACATTTTATTTATGCATACTTATATATACCGTATTGGGTCAAGACAGGTCGATCCCCTCTAGGATATGGACCTGACCTAGTAGGATCCAAGCTAGACCTGGATTTGGACCTAACCCTGGATCCAATAGGATCGGGTCCAGTCATTTAAACCTGGACTCAACCCACTAGATAATTCAAACTTAGACTATGCTCAGGTCGACCCGATTTCCAACCCGTACAGTAAATCATACTAAATGAAGTATACTACAAGTAATTCCCGGCCCTTTAGTCTCATGATGGATGTGAGGCATGGATCGTTGCTCCACGGGAAAGAAATTCATCTCCAGCATAGGTCTTTAGCAATGGAAGGCGGAGACGGTGAAATATATTAAATACGGGCTCGGATGTGTATATAAATGTCACAATTTCCAGGATGTCACAATTTCCAGGATATATGCGACTCTTCATTAATGCATGGGATTGCGACTCTTCATTAATGCATGGGATTGCAACTCTTCATTAGTGCATGGGATTGTCTACAGAGAGACTATTTATCTTTTATACATTAAGGTCACAATCATTATTCTCCCTTAAATTTCAAAATGGCCAGCATGCATTTATGGGATCAAAAAATCTTTTCACGCGTTTTAACCAATGAAACTCATAAAAGCCATGTTTTATAAAAGGGAATCGCGTCCGTCCATTCTCAATGTAATGTTAGCCGTTATCATATAAGAAAATAAGCATCTAATTACGAACTAACAAAAAGGGGGGAAAAAATGAAAAATTAAAAATGAGAAGAAAATAACAAAAAGTTGGAAAATAACATAAAAGTAGACAAAATAAAGGAAAAATACTTGGGAAATATCTTATTTTATTTTTGAACGCGATTTATCATAATAGTATCTAAGTAATATCTATTATTATTTTTTTTAATTTTATAAAATGAGCATGTCTACAATTGTCTCGTGGAAGTAATCTGTACATTTGCCCCATTGGGTAAAAGTATTCACATAGGAGGATTTCTTTAATGTGATAAACTATGATATAAGTTAGAATCACTAGATGGGTATTCCAGAAAAAAAAAGGAAAACGACATGGATTTTTGAGTTCTTATCTATTTAGATCTTACCATCCAAAAATTGAATGGTCTCTATTCAATATGTGGATGTCAATTTTTCATAGTTCTTATGATTTTTCTCTTTTTGAAGTTGGGCCTTGATTGAGGAGGTTAAGTGGGGGTCTAAGAATGTTATTAGATTGAGTTATTTTCAAGTGCAATCTGCGTCGTCCAATTGTTTGATTGGGGGTATTTGCTAGAACGAAAAAGTTTATATAGAAGCGAGGCTCTAAACAATTAAATTAGAGCCCACCTCAAAAATTTTATTTGAGGGATGCCCAAATATCCTCAAATTGATCATCTTGACATCAAGATGCATAGACATGAGAAAAAAAATGGATTTCAAGTTTTGAAAATAGTGCATCTTGTGATGTATTTTTTGACTGTCAATTTTTAAGATTTTCAAGTTTTTATAGATGTGCTCGATCTACACTATTTGTGAAGCTTTAAATTCTATAACTAAAGATGAAAATATATTTCAAGACTATCACAAATATTTCCAAAATTGAAACTACATTTCTCGTTACTATTTGAAGGTGCGCTTTATTTTGATTGTTTAGAGCCTCGGCTCTATACAAACTACACCCTTGCTAGAAAATTTGTTTTGGGCTAAAAACTGCGACAAAAAAATTAGTTAAGGGGTATATTTTCTAGAAAATCCACGGGGGGAGGGGGGTGAATATTCAATTTGCATCCGTAGCTGTAGAGGTCAGGTGCGCTTTCAAATTTTATCATGGTATATAATTTTGATGTAAAATGTTATTAGAATTATCTCAAAATCTATTTTTATATCTAATTATAAAATTTAAAATTTAAAAAATAGTTAAAATAAAGTAGATCTATAAACGTATGAAAATCTTGAAAATAGAGGGTGTAGATAATATGTTATAAAATGAACTATTTGTGAGACTTAAAATCTTTTTATTTTTCATGATCATACATCTCGATGTGGAGATAATCAATCAAAAGGGTTTTCAACATTAAAACTACGTTTTCAGATGGATATTTGAAGTAGTTCTTCGTTACAAAGTTGCATCTTTATATAAACTTTTTCATTCTGTCTCTCTAAAGCAAAACAAGAGAGAACCTTCTCTCTAAAGAAAAACATGAGAGAACCTTTGAGGAAAGCTATGGCCCATAAGAGCTTTCTTTTCAAGTAAGATGGAAAGGATGGAGCTTTTTAAGGGGAGAAACACCTAAACACTCAATTTCTTAATTCTCTCACAACACCAAATTCTCCATGTGAGAATACAACTTTCAAGAAAATATTAAAGAGAGTGAGCAAAGGAATTATACCTTTTACCATTTGACGATATGCTCTATACCAACCTCACCAAAATCTCTCTCTCTCTCTCTATCTAACATAGTCATTCTTAAGTTGCCAAATGGCAAAATATGTGAGAGTT